GCGGTGCACGCGTGCAATCCCAGCACTTGAGGCTGAGGCAGGTGGATCACCATGAGTTGTAGGCCAGCCTGGACGACAGAGACAGACAGAGACAGAGACAAGAAGCAACAGGGATTAGTTTGTTTGTTTGTTGTTGTTTTTCAAAATAAGGCGGTCACTAGAAAATAACAGCAGACACACGGAAAATGCTAGAGAATGAAAAGTGAGTTATTCCTTGAGGGGTGGGGTAATGTGGAATTGTGCAGGGAAGGAGAGGAGGCCTCAGCCCTTGGGAAGAGGAAGACTTAACCCTGAGTGAGGCTGGAGGTGATGGCAGAGTATGGGCTGAGAATAAGGGAACAGAGCGGGCCTCGCTCTCAGGCAAGAGCTTATTTTCTGGGGAGCAAGAGGAGTTACCCACCAAGGTGCTACGTGTCAGGCTGCTGGGGGCTGCATGTATGGAGATGGGTGTTGCTCTGCCCTGGGGGGCTCCCACTCCTTCCTTCCCTAGATGACGTTCTTCCATGAGCCTTCCCAGCACCTGGTGTTCCCCACTCAAGACCCTGGCACTGTATCCTCAGGTACCTTATCTGCAGCGCCCCATTGCCCTGTGGTGTGGCCTCAACCATTCCCTGGTGCTGAGCCAGGACTCAGACTTCAGCAAGGAGCTGTTGGGCTGTGGCTGTGGGGCCGGCGGCCGCCTCCCAGGCTGGCCTAAGGGAAGCGCCTCCTTTGTCAAGCTTCACGTCAAGGTCAGAGCAGGGGCAGCTCAAGTGGGATCCCCAGGAGGGGAAGAGCAGTAGACCAGGAGCCCACAGGACTGTCTCCTACAAGGACCCAGGGGGCCTATTTCCTGCATCACCACCCCTCCCCTCCCTGCCACGTGCCCTGTCCCTTAGCAGACCCTGCCGGCCTTGCGTGACCCTGTAGAGACTCTGTGGGAAGCCAGCTACAGCTCACTTGCTGGCTCAGGGCTGCTGAGAGCAGCAAGGCACCAGCCAGATTAGTCAGCTTCCTGGGAGCCCCTGCGGTGCAAGCACATACCCTTCTCTCCTCCAAGGTCCCTCTGTGCGCCTGCTCCCTCTGCTCCACTAGAGAGTGCCTCTACATGCTGTCCAGCCACGACATTGAGCACTGCTCCATCTACAGGGACCTGCCAGCCACCTGGGCAGTGGAGAGCCTAGGGCCCAGCCTGGGGGCTGGATCCCCCCAGGACCCAGGGAGGGCAGCCCGGGCCTGCGAGGAGTATCTCAGCCAGATCCACGGTTGCCCCACGTTGCAGGACCGCATGGAGAAGATGAAGGAGATCGTGGGCAGGATGCCCTTGCTGGCAGCACAGAAGGATTTCTTCTGGCAGGCTCTGAACATGCTGCAGAGGGCTGCCGGGGGGATTGGCCCGGGCCCCTCAACGCCTGAGAGCTGATGCCTCTCCTGGCCCCACTCCTGGTGGGACAGTGGCCCTGGGTCAGGGGTGGCAGTGGACACTGTATGCACATGGGGAGGGATCACTGGGAGAGAGGAATAGCCAAACCTAGAAGGGTAAGATAAAGAATGAACGCTTTTGTAAAATATTCAGGGGGCTGCCCAGGTGGAGCCCCCAACCTGATATCATGGACAAGAGATTTGATGGATGAACAATAAAAGGTTGAAATGAGGCTCAGTTTGGAACCCTAGAGCCTGGGGTACACAGCAGGGGATAGGGTGCCTGGTTCCTGGCCTGGCAGGTGAGAGATCAAACTCTGTGGGTGGCAGCTGTGGGAACCTGAGTCCTCCAGCTTCCCTTCCCCTTCCCACAACCTCAGCTGGTCTTTCTGAACTTTGGAGTCCTGGCCCCACCTTTGGGGACAACTCCAAAGACTCTACTTGGCTCTTGGGTTTAGGTCCTCCATCAGTCAACCCCATCCAGACCAGGGTGGTGGAGGGGCCCACACCTCCAGACTTCACCTCATCCCCCTCATCTCCCTCATCCGCCTCATCCCAGTGTAGTCCACACCCTTCTGGGCTCCTGTGCGCTTTCACTCCCTTTTTTTGGCGAGGGGGGGGGAGGTACTGGGGATCAAACTCAGGATCTTATGCTTGCCAGGCAGGTGCTTAGGCTGCTGAGCTATCTCCCCCACCTTCTCCTTACTTTCTGTTCCTTCCCCTTGTCCTCAGTAGAGGAACACTCGCCTCCATGCCTGTCTCTTGTACCTTCAGATATTTGGAAGAAAAAAATGGGTAAGCAGAATTCTTCCTCCCTGGCCAGGGGTGGCGGCCTCACACCAGTAATCCTATGCTCTGCAAGGCTGTGGCAGGATCACTGACAGTTCTGAGCTTAGGTTGGGCAACTCAGTGAGCCATTTCCAAAAATAAAAAAAACCTTAAAGGTGCTGAGGATATAGCTCAGTGTGCAGGCCCTGGGTTCAATCCCCACAGTGAACCCCCCGGGGGAGTGGGGGATAGAGGAGAGGCAGCAGGAATGTGCAGCTGCATGGCCAAGAGGTGAATGGGTACGGGGTCTCAGGAAGGGCATCTGCTAGGTGCTGAGGAAGCAGGGGCTGGACAGAGCTGAAAGCCCAGGCACAGGAGAGTGGAGTTCCAGGATCTGATGGCTGGAGGATGCTCCTCTGCCCCTCACTGCCCCACCTCTCCTTTGGTCAATATTGTGAGTCCTAGACCTAGAGAGGCCCCTGGGTTTACCACGGTCCCAGCTGTCTCCCTGTCCCGCCTTCCCACCGCCCGCCCCACAGGCCGGTCCCCACGCCCACACACCCCAGGCTGTCTCATCTGGCACTGATTATCCTGCCGCCACTGCTGCTGCTGCTGCTGTTGCTGCTGCTGCTGCTGCTGCTGAAGTTAGCTGCTGCCTCTGGGCTGAGGACTGCAGCACAGTGCCCCTCGACATGCTGCCCGCTGCCCCAGCCTCCCTCCTGGGGCCCCTCCTCACAGCCTGGGCCCTGCTGCCTCTTGCCCAGGGCCAGACCCCCAACTACACCAGGTAGGTCCCGTCATCTTCAGATGACTCCAGTGAGCTTCCAAACCCCAGCTCCTGGAGGCTATGCCTGTGGGTGTAGGGATTTTCAGAACACCCACCCCATAGATCTCCCACCCCTCTTCTCTGACACCCAAGCCGCGCGCCCCCACGCCCTCTAAGGCCATGATCTGCAAGTCACCACTACTGTCATTCACCCTTCATCTTCTGCTCTCCTAAGCCTCCCCCTCTACCCAGACCTGTGGCCCCCCCATGGAGCTTGAAAGTTGAGCCAAGACCCTGAACTTGCGGGGTAGTTGACATCTGGCTTCCAGAAAGGAAGTGGGGGGATGTTTGCAGCTAGAGTAGAGAAGCCTTGGGAGTCAGAACAGGAGCAGGGCAAAGGTGGGGGTGCATGAGCTTGGTCTCTGGGCCCAGTGGGAGGGCCATCTGCCCTGCTCCTCTCAACCCGCCTCCCCCCCCTCCCGTCTGGGCCTCGTGGCTTGTCCACATCTGGAAGTAGTTAGGCAGCTCCTGTTCCAGACTGCCAGGCAGTAAGAGGGAGGAGAGAGCAAGGGAGGGCCCCCCAGGAGGATTCCCGGAATTCCTGTTGGGGGTGGAGGTGGGGCCTCTAGGGATTGGGGGGTCCTGTTGGTGGTCCCCTTGTCCTTCCCCTTACTCCAACCCAGCGCAGTTGGCCCAGGCTCCCCTGGATCCCTCTGGCCTTCTCCTTCATCACCCTGGCCTCCTATCCCTAGCTCCCCACTGCTCATGGCCCCTTCTGTTCTCCAGACCTGTGTTCCTGTGTGGCGGGGATGTGACGGGGGAGTCAGGTTACGTGGCAAGTGAGGGTTTCCCCAACCTCTACCCTCCCAATAAGGAGTGCATCTGGACCATAACGGTGAGAAGACCCCACTGGTCAACTGTCCCCTTATCAAAAGTCTCTCAGGCAAAAAACAGACATGAATGAGTGCCCCTGCCTGCTCCAACGGTCTTCTAGGCCCTGGCCCCTCCAGTCACCTAGGGAAACAATCTCCAACAGGACAAGTGCCCCACAGTTTACTTCTTAATCCATCACTCAAATCCTGATTTCCCACCACCACCCCCAACTTCCTTCCTGTCTTCCCTTCTCCCTCCAGAGACCACAGCTGCAGAGCCCAGGGCCTCCAGCCCTAGCCACTGCTGTGGGAAATACTCTGGGAGGGGGAGCAGACATGCCCGGGTTCTGTGCAGTCTGAGGCAGTGCATCTTATGCCTAATGTCCCCATTGTCAGGTCCCAGAGGGGCAGACTGTGTCCCTTTCCTTCCGAGTCTTCGACCTGGAACTGCACCCTGCCTGTCGTTATGATGCTCTGGAAGTCTTTGCTGGGTCTGGAACCTCAGGGAAGCGGCTTGGACGCTTCTGTGGCACCTTCCGGCCAGCACCTCTGGTTGCCCCAGGGAATCAGGTGACACTGAAGATGACAGCAGATGAGGGAACAGGAGGACGAGGCTTCCTGCTCTGGTATAGCGGGCGGGCCACCTTAGGCAACGGTGAGCCTCTTTCACCTCCACTTTACCCCTTCCTTGTCCCAACCCACGCAGGCCCCAGACCCTGGCCCTAACCTCAACCCCCAGACGACCCAGTCCCAAGAGTCTAGGGCCACCAATACTCCCAAACCCTTTCTCCTCACTAACCGCCCCTTCAGTCCCTCCTCCCCGTCTTCTCTCCCCCCTCCTGCTCCCACCCACCCCTCTTCCAGGCCCCCCCCCAGGCGCGAGGCGGAAATGGGTCATGGACCCGCGGGTGGAATGGGCGGCCTGGGGTTACTGGGACGGTGAGTAACTGCCCGCCCCCGTCCGCAATCGGGCTCCCTCCGACGGGCGCGAGGGAGGCACCCCAGGGCTGGGGGGCTAGGTTCCCTTATCGGGAGCCCCCTGCACCCAGTCCTGGGCTCCCGATTGCGGTCCCATCGCCCTCTCCTGGTAGCAGAAATCTCTCTGAAAATGTTTCAGCCGGGAAACTCCCGGAAGGGGCCAAGTCAAGGGCACCCTCACAGAGGGAACTCTTTTGCCAGGCTGGGGAGATGGGATCTCCCAGGGGAAGAGGCTTGGGTCGGGAGGGCCAAAAAGGGGAGCATCCAGCCAGTCCCCCTTCCCTTCCACCACGCCTGGCTGCAGCTCTGAGTCCCACCCTCTCTTCTCGGCCCCCTCTCTGCTAACTCCCCCACTCTCCTGCCCATGCCCAGTCCCCTCATAAAGGGACCCAGACAGCTGAGCTGAGCTGCCTGCCCAGCTCTGAGCCAGAATGCTCCTTCAGTTTACTGAGGGTTTCCACTGCCCCTATCCCTCCCCTTGTCTCCCCTCCCCAGAGCACCAGTTTTGTGGGGGGCGGCTGGAGAAGGCACAGGGAACCCTCACCACACCCAACTGGCCAGAGTCTGACTACCCCCCAGGCATCAACTGTAACTGGCATATCATCGCGCCCCCAAACCAGGTACCGACCCTGAGCCCCGACTGCCCGTGGGGACCCAGGCGACCCCCTTCTGCACCTAGCCAGCAAGAATTTATTGAGCTTCTTCTGTGTCCCAAGCCCAGAGCTTGTGTGGACCAAAAATAAGGCTCAGACCCTGCTTGCACACAGACTAAAACTGTAAAATCACAACTGTGAAGTCTTAGGAGAGTGAGGTACACGGTGCTCCGAAACTGTGGCGCTGCGGGGTGGGAGTGGGTGGGGGGTTGTTCCTTGAGAATGAACTGGGATTTGATCCAGCCAGCCCGTGGGGATGCATGACCCTCCCGCCCTCGGTGGGAAGGCATCAATGAGGGTGGGGGAGGCAAGAGGTGCAAGGCGCAGGTCCTCCGAGCACCCTCCGCCCGGGCCGCTGCCAGGTGATCTTGCTGACCTTCGGGAAGTTCGACCTGGAGCCGGACACTTATTGCCGGTACGACTCGGTCAGCGTGTTCAACGGAGCAATGAGCGACGACTCCAAGAGGCTGGGAAAATTCTGCGGTGACACCGCCCCCGGGTGAGGGGCGGGAAAAGCTGGGTGTCACTCAGGGGTTTGAGGGGCTGAGGGGCGGGATGAGGCTAAGAGGCTGGATCTGGACCTTAGAAATAGGGGGCAAGCAGAGGCAAGGCAAGTGGGTCTGGGATCTGACGATTTGGAAGTTAGAGGTGAGGCAAGTGGGATTCTGAGGTTGAGAAGCCAGAAGGCTGAGAGGGCAAAGGGCCATGCACTGGGAAGGTAGCAGGTGCGCACTGCCCAACACCTCCTGTGATGCCCACAGCCCCATCTCCTCTGAGGGCAACGAGCTCCTGGTCCAGTTCGTCTCGGATCTCAGTGTCACTGCAGATGGCTTCTCAGCCTCCTACAAGATGGTGCCGCAGGATTCTGCTGACAAAACGCCAGCCCCGAGCCCAGAAGGGGAGGCCCATCCCGGTGCCCCCCCTCTGGGCCCCAGCTCTAAGCCAGTAGCTGGACCCAAAGTCAAGCTACCCGCCAAGCCCAAAGTCCAACTTTTGGAAAAGTCAGAAGCTTCACCTGAGGCCCAGGGGATTCCAGTGCGCCCCAGTGAGTCTGGGGAGGGGGAAGAAGGGAGCTAGGTCTGAAGGGAGCTGTTTTGGAGTGTCTTCTGGTTTCATTCATTGAATTACCCATTCATTCATTCATTCATTCATTCATTCATTCATTCATTCATTTATTCATTCATTCTACACTCACTGTAATGGCTGGTACTGGGTGCTGGGACCCAAAGCTGGGGATAGCACTCTGAAGGAGTTATGAAGAAAGTCGTCTTCATCTGCTGGGTAGGTTCCCTCCACAAACAGCCTCCCTCTCTCCTAGATGGCCCCACTGTCACCTGCCCAAAGCAGTATCGAAGAACAGGCACCATGCAGAGCAACTTCTGTGCCAGTGACCTGGGTAAGAAGCCCCTCCCCATGGTTTCCCCTTCCAGCTCCTTGTCTCCTCTCTAGTGTTCCTCCTGCCCTGGCTTCCTGTCTCCTCATCTCTCACCCCCATTCTCCCACAGTGGTGACAGCAACAGTGAAGTCCATGGTTCGGGGCCCAGGCGAGGGCCTCACTGTCACTGTCAGTCTGATCAGTGTTTACAAAAATGGAGGACTGGACCTGCCCTCTCCACCCACTGACACCTCCCTGAAATTTTACGTGCCTTGCAGGCAGTACCCACCCATGAAAAAAGGTAACAGAAAAAATAAATCAGGAGGAGACGTTTAGCAACACTAAAGTAATAGAGGTATAAACTCTTAATGAGAAAATGCACTGGTGTAATGGCATGTACCTGTAATCCTCTGGGAGGCTGAGGCAGGAGGATTGCTAACTGGACTGAGGCCTGGGAAACATTGTGACTTAGTGACACCCTGTCTCCAAATAAAAAAATGGAAAGGGCCAGGGGATGGTGCTCAGTTTGAAGGCCCTGGGTTTGTTTCCCAGTGTATCCCCTCCTCCAGTATTTTGGCAAAGTCTCAGTAATGTGCGCTCTCAACTCACCCTGTTTCTCTCCTTTCTTCTCACTTCCCCCAGGAATCAGTTATCTGATAATGGGCCTGATGGATGAGAAAAGAGGTCCCATCCTTCCTCCAGAGAGCTTTGTGGTTGTCTACCGGCCCAACCAGGACCAGGTTCTCACCAACCTAAGCAAAAGGAAATGCCTGTCCCAACCTGTAAGGGCTGTGCAGTCCTAGGCCTGAGACTCAGTCCAGCCCCAGGTCCTTGGGTCCCTTTTCTTACCCAAATAAAAGTTTCTTATCTGAGAAAGAGATCTTATTTCCATTTCTATGATTTATGGGCCTATCAAGATTTCATTCATTCATTCCTTGAGTTTTTACTATACAGTAAAATCTCCAGTACCACCACCACCACAAAACAAAATGTTCTTGTAGATACTATATTCTATTTCAGAAGAGGTAAATATAACTAGGACTGTAAATACTACAGGGAGGGGCCGGGGAGATGGCTCAGTGGAATAAGCGCTTCCCTGGCAAGTGCAGGGGCCTGAGTTTGGGCCTGAGTTTGATCCCCCCATCTGCAAACAACAACAACAACAAAACTACAGGGGGGATGGTGAGATGGCTCGGTGGTCTAAAGCACCTACTTGGAACAAGCTTAGCAAAGCAAAGGGACCGCGGTTCGATCCCCCAGCACCACATGCCAGTCAGCCCCGCCCCCTGGTGGG